TATAAAAATATGTTTTCACAAAAGTTAATAACTTTAATAAATCTTCTTCATTAAAAATGCATACACCTGTAATGTTCTATTGCCCATTTAAGAAATGTTTCTTTATTTAAATAAATTATAAATTACATATTTAATGCAACTACCAGTGTTACCAAAGAAAAGTGGATAGATGAACAAATAAAGAATAATGTCAAGCCAGTGTGCGCGCGCCTGTCTCTGCTCTGCGTGATGAGTCTCCATCTGAACATCCGGGCCTCTCTTCATCGAGCACATCTCCATGTACTTGTTCAGGGTGGATTCGTGTCCACTTCCAGCTAGAGTCAGTAAACACAATTAGATTTGTTCCGAATTAAACAAATTCATGGAACAAATACCTGCTTAACACATTATTCCACTATCGTTCATTTATTAAGTCCTGCCCGCTGCACTCCAAAAGTGAAATTGGGTAGTAATCACATTTACAATTTTACAAGAGTCTGACTTGTAATTTGAACAGAAATTGTTTTATGTTTCTGTGGTGAATGTAATTAAAACATATGCAATCTCCATTAAATTCAACAACTTAACACGCGTTAAACGTATTCTTGTTGAGATGAAGCGATACGTGCTAGCAAGAGTGGTTAGTTGCCTGGACTCGCAATATCACAAGATCACACGGGATTTTAAACAACAGGCAAATCACTGTGGTTATGAAACCAACTAGTATTTATTGTGGGTTTAACCTGTCAGAGATACAAAATATAACGAAAATTCTGCATGAAGCTTTGCAATCATAGTTTTCCCATTTTTTAAGCATGGAGTGATGATGTAGTGGTTAGCACTGTTGCCTCACAACAGGAAAGTCCTGAGTTTGAATCCACCGACTGGCACCTTTCTGCGTGGAGCTTGCACAATTTTGTTGGCTTTGGCTTCCGTTAGGTCAGACTTTCCCAAAGTGTGGGGCCCGCCCCCTAGGGAGGGCGCAGAGCCATTGCGGGGGGCGGAATGAAAAAGGGGGGAAAAAAACAAAAGGCTTGGACACTGCTAGCACGGGGCGCCCACAAACGCAAAGCAGGAAATGAAGCATTGCTGAATATGTTTCCAAACCAACTTCATTCTAAGCCAAAGACTAGAAAATATGGTGAAGCATATCTTCCCTTCGGTTTCACCTGCACAAGTGCCGAGGTAGGTCTCCCCTGCATAATTGGTTTTCCCTTCATGGGAGCAGAGCTGGGCTCTTCAAATCCCGGACAAACAGTATCCCACAGTTGTTTATGTTTTTAAACCCATTTTGCACAGAGAGGCATTTTTTGAAAAATGTATTGATAGCAATGTTGAATATTATTACACATGAAAAAAAATAAAAACTACACGTAAAATAATCACACCGTGATGCCTCTGCCTTTCTAAATGGAGGGACAGTAACTGCGTGTGTATATGTAAGCGTGTAAAACCTGAAGATAGTCAGATTAACAGTATTTTGTCTCTATCTGCCATTCTGCAATTCATCTCATGTAAACAATAACGTGGTGCACAGCGTGATGTGAAAAAGGCACATACCTTTGACGTTGCGTGATGAACTCTGTATTCCTCGTCCACACATAAACACAAAAAAGGAGTTTAAAAAAATCTCAGTTTTCGGTGATTCGAAACGCCGTTTACGTGTGGACGGAACAGCTGCGTTTTCAAAAATACCCACGTAGGTGCGACGCAGTGTAAAAGAGTTAGTAGTTTATTTTATTACTACCTGTAATTTATTGCAGATTACTTGTATTTGCTTAATTGTTTACTAAATGTTTGATGTGTGAAATAAACCGCAGTGGAGCAAAATATGGGTGTGTGTGGTTGGAGGATGTGTTTGTGCGTGTGCGTGGGGCGCAAACATTTTTCTTGTAAAACAAGGGGGGCCCAGCAAAAAAAGTTTGGGAACCACTGCGTTGGGTGAATTGGTGATGGTGAATCTTGTTTACCTGTGCTGGTTGTCTGTCTCGCTGTGTTAGACTGGCGAAATGCTCACCACACCAAAGTATAAGTCTTTAAATGAACTTAAAACAATCATGGAACGGATTTCCACATTAATAAATGTTTTTCTATTAGCAGTAAGTCAATTGATTTAAGTTGGACTCAACTGCAAAAGTTGAATAAATTGATGATGAACCAACTAAGTTGGTCCAGCTCAAGTACCTTAAGCTGGAATAAAAATTGCGTAATGCTAATCACGTGGGAATCCTTTCCATGATTTTATTATGTTCATTCAAATTGTTATTTTTTGAGTGTGTAAGAAAAAGCAGGTTTACTGAAACCACAGAAACTCAGATGAGTCACTGGAGTAACAAGCTGTGTGAAGCTAACCTACTGGGTGATGGGTTTTCATCAACAAACTGAACAAACTTCATTTCTTCATTTCTTTCATCTTCATTTCCTCATTCATAGATTCAGTATAAAAAAATATGTTTTTTTGAGTGTGGTAATATGCAGAAGTTTGCATTATTACCCTGTTAGATGAGTGTTCATTATTTGTTATATTTAACAATTAGTCATCACAGATAAATCACTTGACAGTCTGCATCTATTTAAAACTTTGGACGGTAAGAAAGGTGTCGGGTTATGAAATAAATACAATAGATTATTGTCACGATAACTATTTAAATAAAACGTATCTGTATGAAGTTTTAGACTGATTGATAAACAGCATTTGTCGTGCAGTGATCAGTCACTCTGATAGAAAATTGCCTGGCATCTTTACACTGTCGTCTAAAATTTGTATTAAGGGTAATCTGTAAAAGTGTCAACACAGTGTGAACACTCCTTTGTGCATATTATTTCTTTGTGGAATGTGTCTGCCTGCCACGTGCCCTGTTCATGACACTTTGTGTTGAAGGTAGACAGAAAAAATTGAACTGTTGTTATGTCTCTATGTCATCTTTCTTTTCTCTCTCCTTTTTCCTCACCTCTCTTACTCTGAGCCTGTTTCTGCTACAGACCTTAGTCCTATTTAAAAGGGCATCTTCTCACAAGACAAGCAGTTCGTTTCCCTCTTGGGTCCACCTGATGCATCTAAAACCATCCTCGCAGTCACATTTCATATCAGACGTACTGGTGCAGTTCTGAACCACCTTAAGATCAAACTCTGAGAAAGAGTGAAATAGAGATTATTTTAAAGAGTACTCTAGAACATAGAAAAGCATTTCATTTGTGACACTTTCATGTCAGCTTGATGGCATTGCATTTTTTAGAGAGCATAAAGATTTCCAGGAATATTTTCAAACCTGTTCATATTAGACAAGTTTTGCATATTCATGGCAACTTGAGAGGAACCTGTTCTCAGAATGATCTGATAATAACGGGAGCCAGAGCTAAGTTTACAGATCCTGTCACCTATTTTTTTTTTCTAGCTGTGGTAAAGTTATTTGCTTTGACACTGGTCATTTTGCCCACTGCTGGTTTGAGCTTATCTGACATGAGAATTCAAAGTGTTCTTCTCGGTACTTACTGGTTGGGGTTGGGTCTGGCATCTTCTCACAAGACAAGCAGTTCTTTTCGGTCCACCTGATGCATCTAAAACCATCCTCACAGTCACATTTCATATCAGACGTACTGGTGCAGTTCTGAACCACTTTAAGATGAAACTCTGAGAAAGAGTGAAATAGAGATTATTATAAAGAGTACTCATCACAGTACATGTGGAGTTACTATTAATGGTTTATCAGCTTTTTATAGAAAACCAGAGATCACGGGTTTATCAAAATCCTGATGAAATCATTAAAGGTGGAAATGTAAACTTTCTTTACTAGGGTTGCAGTCTCCAAAGCAGCGATGGCATTCATCTTCAAAGTTCCAGTCAGTTGTGTAACTTCCAGCAGGACAGCGTTCACATGTTGTACAATCAGTCTGATACATACCTGTGAGAACAGAAAAAACAAGAGGAAAGACGTGCAGACTCGGAGTGAGTATCGGTGAAGGATGTGGTCATACTACACAAACTCAGCCTGCGTCATTTTTCATCAATGCAGAAAATCAAAACAACACACAGACAAGAAAGAACCATACTTCACACCACGGTACCTAAAAGAGATTCATATTTCTGAGTAAATGTAAACTGATGAACAGAATTTTAAAAATATTAATAGAAGCTCACATCAAGTTATCACACATTTCCTACCTGCAGGGCAATAGTTACACTCTCTCCCACCAATGTTGTAGGTTTTCTTTAACTGTCAACACAGATAGATATAAATCACTAAAATGAAAAAGTCCTCATTAACTCATCATCCATGCCACATTCACTCATGTCAACTATTTGTCTTATTTGATAAAAGTGTATGCAGTAATTAAGGCGAATGGGTTAAAGAAAAAAAGTCTTACTGTGGGAAAGCTGAACACCAACTGTGTGGATAACATCAGGAGGGCCACAGAGTATTGCACCAATCCCATTCTGTGGACAGATGTAAACACCACTGCGAAAAGGCCAAGGATCAAAAGCTATAAAAGCTAACGCAACTACCAAGTTAATATCACAAATAAAGGTTATTACAATAAAACAATAAATGTCAAAATTAAAAGAAAAAGGAAATCTTTTCCTTCAGTATCATGTGCCTTTTGTTCAACTTCTGTTGTTTTGCTAACTTCCTCAAAGTGTGCCTCACCCTTTTGTCTTTTTGTATCTTTCTCTGTCATCTTGCTGAACATCTGTGTTATTCTTTCTTTACCTGGTTATATATTCCTGCTTCCCACACTCTGACCCCTACCAGCCTGCTAAAACTGACTAACATTTATGCATCAAAGCTCTAAAGCCTCATCATTTCCCATATAAACTGACACCTCATGAAGAATAAATACCCAGAATGAACCACTCGAATGTGCTTATTTGACAAAATAGAAGAGCATTTTGTTTAATCTTATCTAAGGAGTCTGAGGAGTCTGGAAACCTTCACAAACATATTTAAGTACATTTTTTTTCTTTTACTGTTTAATTTAGCTTTTAGCCAACTGTTGAGTTGATTCTATATTAATATGGCAACATTTTCCATGTTAAATATTTCTGTGTAGGTTTTAAAGTGTTTTAGGTGCTTTATATTTCCAAGTTGAAGTCCTGGAAAAAATCCCTGTTTTGCCATGTAAAATGTAAAATTTGAAATAAGGATAATCAAGTATAAAGGATAAAGGTGTTAACACAGGAACACTTCTTTTAGGTTTTGAGTTTAATGTTAAGATGGATAGGAAGAGTAAAATTCTGGTCATCTCACCCCAATCTGTTCCAGCAGATGGTCACCCTCTCTGAGCCTGGTTCTACTGGAGATTTGTATTTAAAGGGAGTTTGTCTTTCTCCAAAATTTCATTAAGTGGTTACTTAACGAGATTTGGATGATTCTATCTTTCTTTTTTTTTATCTGTAATGCTTCAGGGTCTTTATCTTGGTATAAAGTGCCTTCAGATAACTGTTAGAAAAAACTGTTGAACTTAATACAGGGAAATAACTGCACGCCTTGTTGCTCAGTTGCATCTTTTATTCATTCATCCAGCGTCTCTCGACATATTACATACAGCAGCTCTGCAGTGAAGCCTTTTCCAGCCAAAGTTACTTTTTCTTGATGTTTAAAGCTGCAAAGTCACACATTTTGATTTTAGATCAATAGTTCTGACTCTGTGGAACAATTTTCTTTAAAAAAATTGATAAATAAGTTTTTCTGTTGTGTGAAGACAGAAAACAAAAACTCTTTTGCTCTCATCTGCCATAATTTCCACCGTGGAGTCTTCATTCATCTCTGTTCTTTAAACACGAGTATATATTCAAAGCTATATTTCTGTTATGCATATAATATCAAAGCCATCATTTCACAAAAGCATTTGCATTTCCGTTCATCTTCCTGAACTGAGATATTTTTACACTGACTTTACTTGGCATACACTCATAAAGAAACAGCGTAACTGGGAAAGAAAACCTAGATGATCATCAGATTCTGAATTTTTCACGTGGTCACCATGAAAACACAAAAGTCATTTTGTTGGCGTTGAACTGCTTGAGACAATATGAGATTTTACAGTTTGATCCTTCTTAATGTTGTGCATCTACCCCGGTAAGAGTCTTCTTAAAAACACTCGCTGGTCAGACAGAAGGCCCATGAACATACACACTGGCACACATGCATGAGCTAAACTGCACCCTCCTGCTGAAACAAAGCACTAAAACGAGTTATTTCACCTGGTTCATCTACACAGAAGAAACAACACCATTTAAAACAGTGTCTTATAATAGAGTTGTGATGGAGGGGGCGTCCACCTGACAGCTGTGCGCTGTATGTGTTTTCCTACGAAGGAACATGTGGGTTAAATATGCCAATAGACATAACTAAAGTAAAAATGAGGTATGCGATGCGTTCACCAACGACATTTTTTTTCATAAGGAAAGAAAATCTAAATAGAACAAATAGTCCGTTTTCAGCAGGTCAGCATATTTTGTTTTTCAGGTTAGACTACTGATTGTTTCTTATGGTACAGTTTTGCTTTGCTCTTCTTTTCTATGTGCAAAACGTAGGTTCACTTCTATACATCAAGCACCTTGGTGAAATAGCTTCAGCAGCTATGTTTAGTCTTTTTTTAAAGCAATTTCCTGTTGATTCACAATCTAAATATTATTTTGGCACTCGGTGACTAACTTACATTATTACATGACAGCCTTTTTGTTTTTCCACTATCCTCAAAGTGATTCTGCTCAACCATGCAGCTTTACTCAAACATACAGCCTTCACTCTAATCTATAATAAGCATTACTGCTAAAAAATAAAAATTATTAACAACACTTACATGACCCTTGAGTGACTCTATCATCCAGTACTTTAGTCGGTCTTTGAAGTGCAGCAGACAGAGACTACGGTTACATTCAAAACTAAAAAACAACCTCCCAATACTGCGGTCATTGCTCCCTCACCTTTCCCGAAAACTACAAAGTTCAAAGCAGACTACGGTGTTTGTGGGATTTTAGATGTGATTCATATGAAATGATTGGAGCTCCAACATCGTCAAGATGATCAATGTTGGAATTCTCTGTGAACAGCAGGGTGGTTTGGTCTGCCTAAGGCTGACACCAAAACGATGGTGATATAGACATGCGACTTACTACCGTGACTATGTTGTATTATTGTTAAAACTTTCTGCACCTGCACAGGAAATATAAGCTAATTTGGCCATTTATTTACAGATTTAGGGTAAACGAATGTGTCCAAATGAATCAAGGAACAAATCAGCCTCTGCTGTGTCACAGATGTAGCTCGCAGGTTACGGAGGCCAAAATCTTGATTTCATTGTTTGGATCGTTTGCTTTTGCCATGTTATCCTTGACTAAATTCTGTATAATTGTTCTTTGTCAATGCATATCTTCTCCCACATCATTATAGAAACAGTCTTCTTCCACCAAATGGACCAGCTCAGTGGTCAGACGACTACTAATTTTTATTTAAGAATTTGTCATAAAATCCGGATGAAAAATCTGCCAGGAGGCCCACAGTTTTCAACTTATAGCCAACATATTACTGCCATTTTTCAAGCAATGTGGTCCTCAAAGCGATCACATGTACACTTTCTGAACTGGAGGCATCCGAGTGAGAGAAGTGACATTCAACTTTCCCAATTAACTCCTGTTATATTTGATCAAGGGCTTCAGGAGAAGAATAGAAAGAAACTCTTATATCATCTGGTTTAAGGCTTAGGAACACAAAACACCACAGATCTGAAGAGCAACTTCTCAGGATTTTAGTTATTTTTTCAAATCACTTTGAAATGACTTGAAGTTTTAAGGTTTTTACATACATTTCCCTTGTTATCCAGAAAACACCTCACTTTATTGGAAGGAGGCCTGTTGGTAGTCAAAGACTCAACTCTGTTGCTCCAGTAAAAATGCACATAATGTTTGTGTTTTTCTGCTTTTCTTCTGTATCTTTAACTTTTCATTTATTGCCTCAGGTTTGCTTTGCCTGTGATTCTATTATCATTTATGCAAGAGATATGGTGAACTGTTAATGCAGCTGCAAGCCAGTAAAATGCTCTCTCACGGCTTTTTATTAAACCTACATGTGTGGATAAAGATTCAAATTCAAAAATTCAGTGTTATATTATTTTAAGACTGAAGCTTCATTGATTCCTGGAAATATTCCTGTAAATGTGACTTTAACTTTTAGAGCTTCAATGACCATAAAAGCAGATCAGAGATGAGTTTAAGATGCTAACATTATCCTTGTTTTAGCTTGTGTCCGTTTGTGTATAATGAATAAGTCATGCTATGTCTTCCTGTAACCACACTTACAGTCAGCTGACCCTAGGTTCTTCAACCTACTGAATCGTCACAAAATGAAGCACAATGACAGACTTCCTCGCTCAGTCTGTTCAATCTCACTTTCCAAAGTGTCCAGAAAAGAAATGACTCGTCAAATAAGTACGTAAACATGGTGTTGCCGTAGTCACGTAGTCAGCGCCCATTGTATCGGTGTGGTCATGGATGCACTTGAGATCATGCGACCACAGCCGCTGTTAACGCTGGAGTGAGCATGTGTCATGTTCTCCCATTGCTCGAGGAAGAAGGTGGAGATACCGACGGCTTGTCGTTTTCTCTCGCTTCACTCTCCTCAGCGGGTGGAGGCACAGCAGACGGACTGAGAGGGGCAGAAAGAGAAATGCATCATTTTTTTCAGTAAAAACTAAACTCGCTCTACCTGTGGGTTTGTAAGTTTGCTATAATTTTCATTAAAGGTTTTGACATAAAGTGCGATATTTTCAGATGGATAAATATTACGGCTTTTAGGTAAATAGAGACAGTTGGCATAAATTTTCAGGTAATAAAGTCCAGCCAGTTAAACATAAAGCTTATTTATATTTAAAGCTAAATAAACATATAGTAAATAGTGTAGTCATAACTATGTAATAACCATGTCTATCATGTGTATCAGGTGTATAAACAGGTAACAAATCAAAATAAAGAAAGTTGAAATAATATAATGCATTTTGACAAAAGTGGATTATAATAATAACTTTACTAGATACACATAATTAAAGCTGAATACACCTATACTGTAATGTTTTATAACCCATTTATAAATGTTTATTTGAAATACAATATAAATTAGATATGCTGTATACACTGAAACTGCTCGAATAGTTTTTTTTTTTAAGGAAGCTAAATAGATCAATAAAATCAACATCAAGTGTGTGTTTATGTGCGTGTGTACCTGTCTTCGCTCTGCGTGATGAGTCTCCTGCAGGTCTCCATCTGAACATCCAGGCCTCTCTTCATCGAGCACATCTCCATGTACTCGTGCAGGTGTCGGTTCATGTCGCTCTTAGCTGTGGCCAATTCCAGCTACAGTCAGAAAACTGAGAGTTAGGCTAAATCACTCCAAGAATACATACCCATGCAATCAACAGCAATCTAACAGAGTCTCGGTCTCACTTCCTCACCCATGCAGTCAATTTTAAAACAAATGTAACAAAGCGCATGCCTTAGCAAACAGACTCCTGTTAAGTGAACGTTTGCTATTTCTTTTGTTTAACATGAGCACTTGTATAATCGCTCATTCAAAAATCAGTCACTGGTTATTGTGAAAATCTTCAGGCTACAACTGAACTAAAGTTGTAGCCTGCAGTTTAAAGTGAGTTTTCAAACTCAGACCGCAGACATTCTGAATGTGTTCTGGCACCAATTCATGTTTAAATATTTTCACACACTGAACTCCTTAAAGTTACTGATGGTGTTTAGAGCCTTATGGATAGCTTGTTTGGTTTAGTCGCTGATTTCGGTGCGATAGTCAAAAAGGCAAAGTTTGACGGATGTAGTTTCTGTCAAGTTATAGCTGGGATTTAATAATCAAATGTAAAAAATTGGAAGGATCACAGCTTTATTACATAGTAAGTCACATTTAAGCTGTATGAATGATGACTAGGGGGTAAAATAAAGACACTTAGGTTAAAAAAAATCCAGCTCCACTAGATTATGAGGCAATCTATGCTCTCTATTTGCCCTTAGCCAGAGTGAATCATGCTGTCAGCGCTCACTTGAGCATTTCCCATGCACTGCTTAACTCAGTCTAAACATACTCTGACCAGCGTTTCCTCTCTCACAGTAAACAAACCCATGGCTGTTTTTTAAGACAAGGACAGAGCTTAGTTAGTCCTCGACTACAACCTGTTTTCAGTGAAGCCCTTCATTTAATTTTTCTTTTCTAGCCTGGAAGTAGGCTTAGTCAATGTCTGAGAAACTATCTGTCAAAGTTTAGTTAGACCTGCTTTCTTGAACAACCCCCTGACTATGTGCAGCCAAACTGCTCAGGTTTACATAAACTCATCTAAAATGTATGAAAGATGTAAAGAAAGTCCTTTAAAGTACTTTACAGTTTAGTAAAGATTAAATTCAGCAAGGCAGGCTACTGCCCCATTAAAACAAAGCATAGTAATAGTATTTCACTTAATGTCATTATTTAGACATCATATTGTCTTGTGAATGCAAGACACAAAAAATAGTGCAGGAGACATGATAATGCATGCAGCAAAAATGAAAGAACAAACTGCCAGCATGTAGGATGAAGGAAGTTATTTAACATATAAGTACATATATAAGTACAGAGCAAGCGTCTGACCTCAATTTGGTCAATGGTCTCTTGGTATTCCTTCTCTCGAGATTTGAAAAGACATTCGGTGTCATTAATCACCTTTTCCAGACAGTCCTCCTGCTGAAGACAAACACGGACATGGAAATTTACGTGCGATGAAAGGTAGCTATAATCAGTTTAACGTGTGCATCATCAGACATCACCGCAGACATAGAACCATCAAAGCACAGCTGTTGCAGTGCTCCCATCAGCTCACATTTCACTGACTTATTTCCCACGGGAGAAAGAGCAGAGTTTTCAAAGCACACACAGCTGGTGAATGAAAACAAATACCTACATGCATTTCTTTGAAACAAACACCATGTACGCTAAATACAGGCTGGATTTGTGCAAGTGTTGTTTTGTTCCCTGAATTGGCCCGGCCACAGCAGAGCACCGAAGGGCAGCAGACTGAGTTTTGAAGGACTCCACTCTGCCTACTGTTCTGGATAAACTCCACTTATAACCACACAAACAAAAGCTTCTTTGAAATCTGAAGCAATAATATCAAACCATGTGTACTTAATAATTACAGTGCGCTTCCTCTACTTTATAAAACTCCTTTATGCAGTGACTTAAACAGTGTTTAAGCTGAACTTTTAAAACGTTTTTTTAAAGTAACAATAGATGTCAGATGTCTCTTTATAACTGCATTCACACAGGATGAACATCACTTGGTGGGGCTGAGAGAATTTAGTAATTAGTCATGCTCTCTGTTTTTTGGACAATGACAAAAATAGAGATGCACACATGTGCCAATTAAAGAAACAGTTTATTTTTAAACTAAAGAACCAAAGAAAGAACTTAAACTAGCCATGGGATGTGTAGTCAGTATTGCCAGCTTTGTGAGAGAGTGCGTGAGTGAGGAAACGGCATATGCAATGCTGTCTCGTGCAATGCAACAAACCAAGATACAACCAAAATCTCAGAAGTGTCTCTGGAGAGGAAAGCCACGCTGGCAGCTGAGCTCTGAGGGTGTTTGTAGAGCACACTAGGCCCAGGTGCTGCCAGTCGTGCTAATTAGTCGGCACCTGCAGTACACGGGTGCTACACAGGCGGACTGAAATGCAGGTGGGGTGAGTGGGTCGTCTTGTGATGTTATCTGTGAATTAGTGTTTCCGGTTTTTTTTTTTGTTTTCCCTGCACCTTTTGCAGATGCACAACAATTCAGAAACTCAATTTGACTGAAACCTGAAAGGATGATGAGATGCCAACATATGGTAATGAAAATTGTTCCGTCTTTCAGAGATCAAAGATCGACAGTTACGGTCACGTGAAAAACAAAAAGAAAGAACTGCACAGCCCTGTGAAAAACAAAGTACCTCGTGTGAACGAGCAGACTGGATGACCACCTTTAGCACAAATAACCTTAAGTAATTGTTTTCTATATGACGTTCTGCCTCTCGCATCCCTTTGGGGGAATTTTAGCCCACTCTTCTTCAAAGTGTTGCTTCAGTTTATTGAGGTTTGAGGGCACTTGTTTATGCACAAGTGTCTAACATCCCAGACCTGAGTCTGGTTGAGGTCAGGACTTTGATTGCACCACCTTTAGACTTTGATTTTACAGATTTGCTGCTGTACATGTCCTGCTGGATGACCCAATTTGGGCCAAGCTTCAGCTGTCAGACAGACGGCCGGATTTGACTCCAGAATACGTTGGTATGCAGAGGAGCTCATGGTCGACTCAGTAACTGCAAGGTGCCCAGCTCCTATAGCTGCAAAAAACAAGTTCATGTCACCCCCCACCCCACTGTTCCAGAAGTCTTGTGGTTTGTTCAGATGCAACTTTGCAAAACCAAGCTGTGCTACAATGGTTAAAGAAAATAGGCTTTCTCCTGGTAACCCTTACAAATATGCCATACTTGTTGAGTCTTTTTTTAATGGTACTGTCATGAACATTTAATATGCTAAATGTGGCCTGTCGAGTCTGAAAAGTAGTTGCAATCTGTCAGAGCTCTGCACAGTCAGCACTTGGGGTGAATTTGCTCTGAGCTTCTGGGAACACTGCGGCAGTGTACTTAGTTTTTCACAGAAATGAATAGAGCCTTGTGAAAAAGTGCTTTCTCACATGACTGCATGTGTCAGCTTACTAAGTGAGGTCTATAACTGGTGACCACAGATATCTGTCAATTTCAGTAAAACACAGGCTTGTTTATGCTGTGTGAATGTTTTGCAGAAAACAGTGATGGTGGGGTAACTTCTGACTGCAATTAGTATTTTTAATATGCCACAAAGATGGCTAAAGGTAAATCTTTCAATTTTTCAGCTTTTTTGAAGCCTCTATATGTATGTTCATAAATTAGCTCCTCTCTGGTAGCCACAGGTATATTTCTAACAACTTTGAGCTTTAAATATTCGTAGAAAGTTCTCTCAGTCTTAAACTTGAGTGACTGCTGCCTACCTCTCCCGGTGGGTGGGTGGGATCTGGAGGCAAAGTGCATCCTGGGAAATCCTCCCAAAGCAGCAGCGTCTCTTCAGTCTCCTCCCACGCTAGACTGTCACAGTCATCCTCAAACTCACATTCACGCCTGAAATTGTTTTTAAAAAAAGTATCAATGCACACACACAAACGCACATGGCCTGAAAAGACGACTCAGATTACAGTAATTACATTTTCAGACCACTCACAGCTGGTTTAGCATCCTCTGCATCTCCTCATTGATCTGATTAGCAGCAGATCCACAGTGCTCCTCATCTTTAACCACTGCTCCGTCACTTTCGGAGGTGCTGACGGGCTCGTCACACTCACTCCCATTAAAGGACAGAGGGGTTTGTTTACGGCGGCAGTTTAGCGATGGTTGGTTATTAGGAACCTGCAGAAAAGTTTGGGTTTAGAGGATCAGACTAACAAGTAGACACTTGCTAAAAGCAGATAAAAAAGAACCAGAGATGATAAGATTAAACAGTTTTACCTGATACATTTGGATGACGTCTTCACAGTTCCTCTGCTGGGCCACGTCACACAAACGAGCAGTGATGTCGATCCTGCGGCAGATGTCCATGTCCACCTTCATCGCTTTCTCCTGGATTTTGCTGTCCAAATCTGACAAATTCTACAGAGAGGATGGAGATAGGAACTGTTCAGCATCACTGGAAAACTGTACCAATAAGACTGATTATGACATAATAGTAGCACCACTTTCTTATACAGCACCCTAAAGATAGAAAATAAGACCCCTGAAAACTCAGGGGTCACCAATCCTCAGTCATTTGGTACCAGACCACAAGAGTTGAGGCTCAGTTGTGAAATTTATGGTTTTCAGGGGGGGGGGGGTTATCGTTAACTCGGTTTCCCTGGGTCTTTTCCCGCGTTGTAATTGTGTGTCTTATTTTGAAAGAAATATTTACGCGTTACCATAACGACCAGAGACCATTAAGGGGCAGAGAGGAGGATGTTACTCTCAATGTTGTTGCATTTCAGTAGGACGCTGTTAATAAAGTTACATTACAATTACAAGGTTGGGCACCGCTGCTGTAACTAAAGCAAGCTGTTTCACACATGAACTTGGAGAATCCTTCCTCGGGAAATCTCCTGATTGGTTTACATGGAGGTACTGCAGAGTGTGCGGGATGCAGAAACCATGACGACTACTCGCTAGCTATGAATTCACTGGACTATAACCTGCAGTACTCTCACGTCAGCACAAATTGTTGCATTTGGACAGCAGACTTTGCACTATGGAGTTGGCAGGTTAAAGAGTTGGGTTGAATGTTTGCGCTCTCACAGCCACGTTTATCCAGGTGATGTCTAAAAAAAGTTCAGGGCTTCAGTGTGAAAGCAGCTTATAAGGACAAACTACCAAGTGAATGCAGAGGGACATCTGATTACTGTAAAGAGCTAAAACTGTTTGTGATTATTATATGAATGTATGAGCTTACATTGCTCAGGAGCCCTTTGAAGACAACCAGCTCCGTATTCAGATGCTGAACCCTGCGAACCAGCTCATCCTGGCAGCCTTCACTCTCCTGCAGGTCCTGCACACACAAAAGAAGTCATAATGAACAAATGCACTTAACCACAACTCTCTTTACTGTAGTTTTTGGGTCACATTGTGCAAAAAGATTTTATCTGCAAAGAGCACATTCAAATCCTAAATGCATAATCACTTCTGGGAAGCTCTAAATGAGTCTGACATCATGGTAACCCTCAAAGTCTCCCCACTGATTTATTCACACGTGCTGCAGTTACAATACTCGAGAAGCAATTTTTTTTTTTTACCCTTTTGTGGGCTTAAAGTGCGGTGGTATTTCCTGTCAAATTGGGTCAGGTAAAGATTCCTCACAATGGGGCACATGCTCAAAAACACATATACAGGAAACCACTGGGCTTAGAATGAGACCTTTGCCATGAAGTCAACATTTGGGGGGTAGGAGGCATTCATTTTGGGGGCTTTATCTGTCATCTCAGTGGTATTCATATTCTCGCTCTTAACTGTTACTGCACAAAAAAGATGAATGTCACGGCTACTCTTCATCACGTGTGTCTACATGTAGACTAAAAGCAGACTTCAATCAAACACTAATGCTAATCAAGCCAGAACTGTTAGTATACTGAGTATTCATTAAATTTTTCAGCATTTTACTTTGGCTATATTTAAACTAAATTATGCCATAATGAATGGTTTCATTGTGGGGAAATGTGTTTATAAGGACACAAGTGCAAGAAATACAGATATTGCAATTTGATGGTTGGCGACAGGCAGATAAAAATACAACTTTCATTTCCTTAAATGCATTTTGGCACTGTTAGCAGTGGACGGTTAAGGGTTTTCAGGAAAAAAGCAAATCAATTAAAAGAGAGTGCACTAGCATTGGATGACTCATTGATAGCAGCTAAAGCAGCTAATAATCATTGCCAGCAAACAGAAAGAGGTATGTGCTTGGCAAGATCAACAAACAGCTGCAGCACAATCTATATTAAACCAAACTAATCCGCCCTACTTCTCTCACTTTCATGAAACTATTTAACCTTTAACATTATTGTAAAGAGGCCAGCGCAGCCTTAGCTAAAGCGTCTCATGCAGCATAGAATTAAAAATTTAAAGCGAAAGGATATGTATTAACAAACATTCACACACACACGTCTTTAATTCTGTCACTTCAGAGAACTCACATCAGTTTTCTGAGGACTGCCTGACAGCAACTATTCCGGGTACTTGCCAAAATCTAACCTCCGCCTTCATAATAACATATAATCATTTATAATATCGAGACTTTCAGTCCCCACAGTTGGACTATATAAACAGATTTATGTTCCCCCATCTTGAGAAATACAAGAACAGACAGAAAAAAGGGTACATAATGTTACCTCCTGTAAGTCTGCAATCTTCTGTTGCAGATCCATCCTCATGGTGTATTCCTCTTCCCATCTAGGAGACACAGAGATAAGTTTAAGAAAGACATTAATAATCTTCTAGTTCATGTCTTCTCGGATACAGAGATCAGAGACAATGAACAAAACATAAATTAGGTATTCATCAGCTTTGCACCACTTGACATTTATAAAAGCAGGCAATGCTCCTGTGAATCAATTAATTCAGGAAGTTGAAAGGCTAAAAGGGCTAAAAGTCCATTTAAAATGCACCTCTAACTGCAACAATCACATTCTTGATGATTCATTACATCAAGTAATTCAGCAATCAAGGATCAACCAAACAAAACACACTTTCAACAGGAGATGGACAACAAGTTGCTTAGCAGCAGCAATTTACTCTGCACTCACTCCTGAGCACCGCCTACCTAAAAGTGGAATTAAATCTGTGCTGTAACACTTTAACAGGCGCTGGTGTAGATAAAAGGCTGAGAAGGCAACCACATGCTGCAGGGTTAAATGCAGTTGCCTGACTTCAGCTCTGACCTGAGGCCCTTTGCTCAGTCTTCCCAGTTTCCAGGCAAAATGCCTAAAATAACTAGCATATGTGTGACCAGACATGTAGTAAAAGTAAGTAAAGATGTACTAGCATCTCCAGTTTGTTTGGAATCTCCAATTTGTTTCAAACTAAATGTGAAACATTGATTAATGGCCAGAAAAGTGTTTTTGCAAAAGAATAAAATGGTAAAGTGAAGCTGACCTTTGACCCTTTGGATTCATCAATTTCACCAATTTAATTATTGTATGAAATATTGTTATTTTATAATAAGTATACAAATTCTTCAGTTAACTAAATACATTTTATTCCCGACGCCACACGAATGGGATGGTTGTCCTGATACAGAGAACCTGAAAATATTTTCTATCTCCACTGGAATCCGTCCCATAAGCAAATTTATCATTTCTAAATCATCAAAATTTACATTAAAAAAAAGAAAGAAAAAAGATGTAAAGGTGGACATGGTCCAGGAAGGTCAGTAAATTGATCCTCGGCTCTTCCTGTCCATGTCTTGAAGTAACCTTGGGTAAGATACTGAACCCCAAGTTAGTGTGGGTGTAAATATTTGATAAAAATGCTTAGGCACAGATAAAAGTACTGTGTGAATGAGACTTGGAGCGCTCAAATTAAGTAGATAGGCTGTCATTTATCTGCACTAAAAAGCACAACTAGATTTCGGTCTAAGTGTTTTGAGTCTCACACTAAAATCAGTGCAGTTATATTAAAGATAATAAAAAAGGTGTTCGACTGAGTGAATCACCGATCCCTCACAGGCCAACTCGGTGATGCATCTCAGACCATTGCCAGTGAATCTGATCTTTAACACATTTAAAAGCCTGAGCAGAGACTACTGCGTATGTGATCACAATTTCTGTGATTTCATACCACAAGGGGAATTTCACTCACTGCAGTCTGCAGCCTCTTATAAAAAAGCTGTTTAAAATGCAGAATGCTGCAGTACAAGAATCCCTACAGGGGATACTAAATCTGAAATAAACTGAGTCATGAAACAGAGGTTGTTGTTGTCATAGCAGGTGCTTGTTAGATCAGTAAGGAGAGCGCGCACAGAAAACTGAGAGGCACTTCCTTCTGCAAGCCAAGCCCCCCTCCACCAGTTACATCTTGCAGTGCATGCTGCATTGCAGATACAGTATGGAGTGTAGAGAGGACGACGGTGCGCAGTGGAAGGAAGAGAGTGTGAGAAAGGAAGAAAAGGTGCGACTGTGTCAGTTTTAAAAGAGAACGAAAATATGAGCTAGAGCGTGTGGTTGGCAGAGAGAGGGTTTTTTTGGCAGTGACAGAAGGAGGGTAACGGGGGGAGAGACAGTTGTCCTTGAAAAAAATAAAAGAACAGTGCGGAGAGCTAGAGGAGGGTAAGTCTGAAAATTAAAATAAAAAGCTTAAAAAGCTGCTTTAGGTTGGAGTTTACAGTAAAGGTTCTAAAACAGATATAATAAAAATAAGATAACAAGCATTCCATTATAAAATGGTATTAATATTTTAAAAGCTATGTAATAGCCTGAATCTGAGAGAATAAGTTTCGCATGAAGAAACATTTTGTGATGTCCTCATTTGTCCTGAGGTAAACTGAAGGGGGCTGCAGAGACCCCTCAAAACAAGTCATTAGGGGAGGAAAAGACTGAGAGGGACAAAGTGTGTGAAACCCCTCGATTCACAAATAAAATGTATATATGTCTGGACAGCAGGCTGGGAAATGAGGCACACTAGTGTCTCTACAGACAGAGAAAGCATGCATCTCATCTGTCTCACACTCTCTGGATTGTTAAAGTCGTCAATGTGCTTCATACACAAAGAGCCTACTATACTGTGCTCAGGATCTCCGCTGTGAAGAATGCATGGCTGCTCAATTGGATATAATCTGAGGGAATTTAATGATGAATGCGCAAAGGACCTTTTGGAGTTAACAAATAATTACAAATAATACACAATCCACCAAAGCTGTTGGACAAACTTCAAATTTACAACAGGATTTATGCAGTTTTAGATGTCATTGCTAAGCTTTCTGGAGAAAAGACCAATCACATTGTTCCATATTAGCGATTAAGTGATTGGCCACAGACACAGACAGCTGTCTTTCTAAAATGGAGATCAAAGCATCCATATTTGAACTGGTGATGTCATCAGATAAAGTCGCATGAGCTCACAGCAGCAACTGTGGATTACACGATCTCATATTCTCAGCAACGGTTAATCCGCTTCTACTCATCCATCTCACTTTCACAGAATAAGAGTTGATGCTTGTTGTTCTGCATCAAAACCCTCAGATATTTAGTTGATTGTTGGTAAGCTACAACCAGTAAATGTTCAACATAAAAGATTGGTTCTTACTTGAAAAGGGGCTCATAGCCAAATCCCCCATAAATAATTAGTTCACTTAAATGTTGGTAAGGCTGTAAGTAATGAGTCTCGACATAATATCCAAAAATACAATCCTGAATTCTATTTTCACATTTCCTCTCTGAACTTGTCTCTAGATAAAATCATTACTGCCTTTCAGCATAAACATGATGGCTCTCCAGAATACTCTTGTAAAGAAAATGCACCATTCAGTTTGAGTGACCACACGTTAATAAAATCCAAATAATATACTAACCTGCTAATATTTTCTTGCAGAACATAATTCTGACAAAAATGGGGCAATTTTTTTTTCTTTAGAAAATGATGTCATCACACAGTTTGTCCAGCTCAGACTCCACAGTTTAAAAACACTCGGATAAATGTCTGCAGCACTTGTGTAAGGACATCTACAACAACACATTCTTGGAAAGATAATAAACAATGAGACATTGTCTTCTCTTTTAACATAAAAGAATGGGTGTTTATGTGTATTATTTAAATAATATTTGCTAATATGTCAGTATAACAACTTTTAACTCTAAAAGCTGACACTGATGTTGGCATCTGACCCATAAAACGTGAACAAACTGAGCTAAATGTTTGGCTGCACAGAGGACGACCACTAAGCTTTGACCTTGATTCTACTTCATGTTTGTCCCCTGAGGTGTTAATATTTTTTTAGTGTATTTGTAGCAGCAGCACCTGCCTCTGTCGTTAGTCATGTGATGAATGCAGTTCCAGGCTTGACGTGATTGATGTAGAGTTTTTGTGCTGACTCTGGTGTAGCAGGAGACAGCTGGTCTGCAGCTGTTCTGCTCACTTCTCCAAAGTAGAGCATTACATACACTCAGTAAAGCTACAGAGCAATCACAAGGTTTATTTATTTTTTTAAATGGCCCTGAAGGAACTGCAATAAAAGGTTTGGTCCATTTACCTGCGTTTATACTCATCTCTCTCCCTCTTCACTTTAGCCAGGACATTGTACAGGGCTCTTATCTCGGGGGTGATGGTGTCAATCTGGACACCAACTCCATCCGGGTGCACCCAGGATACTCCTGGGCTGGTCAGACGCTCAGCACCGGGGCCGAACTTGCGGGTGTGGTTGTAAGACCAGATTGTGCCCGGAAGGAACCGTGGAGGAGGGTTGGTGGAGGCTCCCGGACCTGTGCTGTTGTTAGTTCCCGTTTTAGAGCCAGATCCCGGGGACTCCACACGGGGGGAGGATAGGCTGATGGTGATGGGTGGGTTGCAAGCGGCATTTGTTTGTGTTGCACTCGAGTTTTCAGAGGCTGCAGGTGGCAGGGCTGGCGCGAGAGGCGTTGTGAACAGTGTCGTAGGCCTCCTGGCCGAGTTGTTGGTGTTGTGGAAGGGCAGGGAGCCGGGCCTAAGCTGTATCGTTCCGACAAATCCCGTCTGCACGCTTACCTCCTGGGTGTGCGCTTGGTTCTCACAGCATCCACCTTTGCAGCCCTTGTTGGCGTCCAGCGCCTGCTGCAGCTGCTTCTCCAGAATCTTATTTCTGCGCTCTAATTCGTGCACTTTAGCCAAAAAGCATCTGAAGCGCAGGTTGAGAGTTTTGAGGACGCTGATGTTGGAGCCCAGGTCGTTTCTGAGAGCCATCGCAGCAGGGGGATGCGGCACAGGGCGGTGCTGATAGTGGCTGCTGTGATGGAGATAAGGTGAAGACTGCGAGGGTGCGGTGAAGTCAGGCCCCGGGCCGGGCTGCTCACCCAGCAGAAGGGAAGCCGGGTCCGGTGCACCGAAAACAGCGTCGGGAAGGAGACCTGAGGGAGAGTCCGGGTGTCCGGGCGCCTGGTTCTGCTGCGGATGCTGTTGGAGATGCGCGTTGGCCCCCAACAAAGGATTCATGCTATGGTATGGAAAACTGAATCGCTGCAGATCTGGCATGAACACGGACAGGAACTGGCTTGCTACAACAGAATATTGTTATAATATAGATAATAAGAAGTCTGACATCCAGGAACGGCGTGTGCGTAAAACGCCTATAGCCCCGTTCACTTGGTTATATAACTGTTTATAAATAAGAATCTTATCCTTAAAGCCCAAAGGTCTTAACGTCGGCTGATGGATCAGTGCTCTCTGACGATCCACAGGAAAGAAAAAAAACAGCCTAAATCAGAACAGATGGATTTGGAAGAAGACTACAGAACACTGGACGTGCGCCTCAGCGTGATGCTTTGCAAAATAAATGTAAAATAAATGAAGAAAAAGCCGCAGAGCATGAATGAATAAGAAAGAAATCCGGCGTCTCCGCGTTACTGAAGTTCTGGCAACAAGCTGTGACCGCAGGCAGGAGAGAGCGCTGCGGGATTGGAAGATCCGTCTGCCGTAAATACGCGAATAGAGGAGCCTCAATTAACTGTTTGCTTTCTTGTTCACATTTGAAACCATTAGCCACAGCTCCAAACAAAAAACATTAGAGGATTTAGTGAAACTGGAATGAACCGTGACGTTAGACCTGGAAATCACGCTTTCACTGTTTTGCGTTCATTTAAATTTAAGTTAGAATTAGTCCAGTTTTTGTTTTTGTTTTTAGAGTAATTCAGCATGTTTGTTTATTCTTATTAAATCTGATGGAGAGTTAAACAAGAAGACTGCTACACAATTCGCCAGTTACATGCCTAAAATTACTGGTGTTTATGTTACTTATCACACTAAGTAGCAAAAAATAAATAAAAACACCTCCTCTGTGTAACCCACTATCTTTCAATGTGACCATGAAGCTAAATCACCTGAGTGGAGCACTGTGGGGTTAATAAGTCCCATTAGCTCAGGCATCCCTGAGGGGAGGATGGCCCTTTAGGACAGATGGGAGGTGCAAAGGAGACAAAAGACACAAACTTACTGACATGCAGGGGTGCTTTATGCTTCAGCGGAGACACCAGGGAAGGGGAAAAAATATAAAAGCTTTAAGATGTTAGAGTTACAGTGTGATAAATGATGTTAAAGGATCTTTTAAGTTGTTCTGTTGCCATAAATTCTCAGTCTCACTGCTTGTCTGGAAGAAGCACCATGTAACTGATCCACCGAACTCCTGTTTCTGTTGTAAAAAATAAAATAAAAAAAAATAAAAAATATTTATTTAAAAATACAAAGCGTAAATTTTAAAATCATCCAAATCAGAGGGCAACACAGAGGTTTTCAGATATTTGTGCATGAGAGCAGACAGGGTCAGGCAGGGCTAACTTTGCATTGTATTTTCGTACCACTTGTCCATCGCTTTTATTAAAATAAATTTGCAGTTCACAATCAAACACTTTATTACATACAGAAAGTACAGTGTGATTTTTCCTGACATACTGAGTTGTGATCTGTAGACAAACTTTGGTTTTAAAAAGAGAGAATTCTGAATTTTGTTCCCCATCATAGATGGGTTTAGTTTGAGGTTAGGAGAAGGTGTCACCGACGCTTCATATGAGTGCTTTTAAGTCACTTTGTCATACTGAGACAAAATTAATTCAAGGAGTAGTGATGGTGCACATGTTTCTCTTCAGATTCAGATGCTTTAGCAAGTGTAAAAGAATGAATAAGGTTACACTATGACCTCCACAGTCACCAGATCTCACCTCAACTCCTAGATAGGATTTTTGGTAATCCTCTCCACTTCTGCACCTGCTTGTGTGTCCCATCATATTCACTGATCTCACCATTTGAGGTACATTAAGTGCCAGTCCTAACATTGGCCTTTTATTTCAAACATTTTGCATAGTTTTCACCCATCAGACATCCTCTCAGGGCTGTGCAGCAGCTCCTTTGTGTTCCAGAGTTTGATTTCAGTAATGGACAAAAAAAGGAAAAAAAAAAAAAAAAAAAAGATCTTGTTTAAAACTAAAGACTCTTATTATGAAAATAAACTGAATTAACCTTTATATATTTAAATGTTAATGTCTTGTCAGAAATTCATCAGGAACAGCACTAAACCACTAAAGCTCATTTTCCTTTCAGTAAATAACTAATCTACTCCTCCAGATCAGCCTTCATACATTTCTGTTCAGATATAAAGGAGGAACAGGAGACCGAATCTCACAAACGAAGGACTTTATTCCACCACTGCAGTACTTCAGTACTACAGACAAGCAAATACATTCACACCTTTACTCCAAACCCAAGAACAGAACAGGGAATTTGAAAAATAGAAAAGAAAAAAAAGAAAAGCATTGGTCTCCAATTTAAATCTTGTTTTGCTCTATGTGGGACCTTTCCTCAGGCATATTATGGGGGATGGCTACACGACGAAACCAGAGTCACAGAGAATACAATGCCTTTTTGTACATTTGTGACTCAGGACTAAGAAGAATGTGGGCTATGCGACAGTTCAGCGACAGCCAAGTTTACTCCTTGCTAGCCATGTGGGCCATCAGGTCGCAGACACGGTTGCTGTATCCAAACTCATTGTCATACCTGGCAAAGAGGGGAGAGGTTAGCAGGAAACACTGGCAATAAATAGAAAGACACTGAAAGTAACCAGTGTTGAAGGCGTACCATGTGACCAGCTTGACAAAGTGGTCGTTGAGGGCAATGCCAGCACCGGCATCAAAGATGGATGAATGGCAGTCGCCGTTAAAGTCTGTGGACACGACCTTTAGGACGGGGAGAAGAGTGTGGCACATCAGCAATGAGATCCACAGACAAAATGTAGCCATGAAGTGACAAAGTTTAAGGTGTACCTGGTGCTCTGTGTATCCCAGAATGCCCTTCATGGGTCCATCAGCGGCAGCCTTCACAACCTTCTTGATGTCATCGTATTTGGCCTGAAAAAGCAAAGCAGTTATATTTGCATTTTTAAAGAAATTTTTTAAAAAAACACAAGCGGTGAACCACATGTGTAAATCTGAATTTAAAATTGGTTTATGGCTTTGATTTTAAAAAGGAAATTTCTAAATCAATATTTTGTAAATTGCATGTGTGATACTCACTGGTTTCTCCAGACGGACTGTCAGGTCAACCACTGACACGTTGGGGGTGGGCACACGGAAGGCCATGCCAGTCAGCTTGCTGGGGGGAGGGGGAAGTTTCACTTGAGTACTGGAGCATTACAAAGCAAAATATTGTTTTAAATTGTACATTAGAGTAGTGTTTTATTTGCACTCACCCATTGAGCTCAGGGATGACTTTGCCGACAGCTTTGGCAGCACCAGTAGAAGCGGGGATGATGTTCTGGCTGGCGCCACGGCCATCCCTCCACAGCTTGCCAGAGGGACCATCCACAGTCTTCTGGGTGGCAGTGATGGCGTGAACTGTGCTCTAATAGACACAAACAGAAAAATAAAAATAGGAGGACAATTAAAAATGTAGCTTAAACATAATTTCTTCAAAACTGTTCAAGTGCTGTGTATGATTTCCTACCATCAGGCCCTCAATGATGCCAAAGTTGTCATTGATGACCTTGGCCAGAGGTGCCAGGCAGTTGGTTGTGCAGGAAGCATTGCTATGGAGAAACAAATAACATCAGTCAAGTTTTATTTTTAAAATGAAATGTTTTAAATGAATGAAATTAATTATAAATGCAAGATCAGTAAAGACTGTCACAGCTTTCATTAGAACAGATGTGTAGTTGTTATTCATTGTGTTCAAAATATATTCCTAAATCTGTGATTTTGGCAGCAAAAACTCATTCATCTCCAAATATTCCAAAAAGATTCTTACCTGACAACCTTGAGGGAATTGTCATACTTCTCGTGGTTGACACCCATGACAAACATGGGAGCGTCAGCGCTGGGTGCAGAGATGATGACTCTCTTGGCACCACCCTTCAAGTGAGACTGCAGCATCGCATTGAAATCATTCAGTTTCCTTTTTGCACATCACATATGGCATACTACCTTTTTCTGCATTCACATTTTACATGATTTAGCACTTACAGAGGCCTTCTCAATTGTGGTAAACACACCAGTGGACTCCACCACATACTCTGCACCAGCGTCACCCCATTTAATATTGGCGGGGTCCCTCCTGAAGAAAGAAAATTGTTACAAGGAAAAATAGGGGTTATCTCTGAAACCATTACACAAATTAATAGCTTATACAAATATGGCAGGCGAACTGAACTTACTCATGGAAAACGGTGATTTTGTGTCCATCGATGACCAGCTTGTCTCCCTCAACCTTCACCTCGCCTTTGTAGCGGCCGTGGGTGGAGTCATACTGGAACATGTAGACCTAGAGAGGGGATAAGGAGAACTTTTTAGACCGGCTTCACAAAAACTGGGGGGGAGAATAAGTGAAGTGTGTGTTCCTGGCTCCAAAAGCCCTCGTTTTATATTTAATTTACCCAGTTTGCTAAAATGATGAAATTCATACTTACTGGAAATGGAAGAAAAAAAAATCCTACAAGTATTTGACAAATAATTTTACTAGAATTATGTTATTCTAACATTCAGTCATACAAAGCTTGTGGTGAGTTCAAGCTAACGCCTTATATTCTTTTCGTTTCCTCTTTGACTGACCATGTACTCCAGGTCGATGAAGGGGTCATTGATAGCGACAATCTCCACCTTCTTGGAGTGGAAACCAGCACGGGTCACCAGACGACCGATGCGGCCGAATCTGAAAAATGAACAAGAGGCGTTTCTCATTCTGGCCAGTAGGTGGAGACGTCACACCACATTAAACTGACTACAGTCACTTCTTTAAGTTTCGGTGAAATGAAGGCGCTTGTTAAGATGATAAATACTAAAATAGATTTAATAATAATAATAAATCAGAGCAGAGTTTGATATTTAGTCAGAGGCTTTCCTGTAACAGTTTAGATTTTTCTTTTGTGTGGGGCGAAATCTCCCCCAGAAGACCTGACACCACAGTAGAAGAAAGGCCAGGGTTCAAGAGGAGGGGCTGAGGGGTGTGTGCACTTTTCTCTCTGAGAGGCTAAAGTCGAAATTAATCTCCAATCCTGGTTACGCAGTACACTGTTTGAACAACAGCAGGGTTACTTTTTAACCACAGGTCCAAAACTCCGGGCGCATAGATACACTCCGTCCTGAGAGACCAGGAAGAGAGGCGGGTGGATGACAATTTATTGAAAACAAATGCGTAGATCCGCGTCAGAACACGTGTGCTCATTGACATTTAGGTTACATAGGTCGCCTTTCACTCGCTGATGACCCCGAGGTCAAAGGCACTGGCTATTTTGTTTCTGCAGACGGCTAAAGATCAAAGATCAACAAGAACATGAGAACAGCCGGCTGTCACCATTTAAATAACACAGCAGGTTGTAGAAGGGAAAAAACCCTTTTTGAAGGCTAATTTTAAAAATAGACCCTCCAGTAAAGTGACAGGACAGAAGACCATCCTGAGACAA